AGGTTTTTTTTTTTTTTTTTTTTTTTTTTTTCTAATTTACAAAGATTCAAATGGTATGAATGTAAGGTAAATGTTTAGAAATATAATTGTTTGGTATGTACGTAAATGCCTCATTTTTAATGGGGGGCAAGGGCATAATTTTGTATTTATTTTAAATACAAATCTAAAATAGTCTAAAAAATAAAAGAGTCGTCTTAGATGGCTTGGTCACATTAAACGTCGGTCATCTGATGATCCGATTAGGAGAGTGGATGTTTTAGATTCGACCTATGTTAAAAAGGGCAGAGGTAGACCTAGGAAGGCTTATTGTATAAAAAATGATCTTAGTTTATTAGAACTAGATGAAAATATGACAGTAAATAAGACACAATCGAGAAAAAGGATTCATGCAGCTGACCCCACGTATTGTGGGATTAAGGCTTTGTTGTTGTATTTCCGTCTCAAAATAAAGTAACATTCAGGTGAGTTGTGTTAAATACTTCTGAAATTTACAAAGAGAACTTAGACAAAAGGAAGCTGAAAGCAAACAAAAATAAATAAATAAATGAATTTAAATTACCCAAAAATATATATATATATATATATAAAACAAATGAAACAGGCCAAAAAATAGAGGCCATGCTTCTTTTAAGAAGAGAAAACTATGTAAGAGGGGGGTGGTGGCTATAAGAAAAATATATACACTGTAATATACATGATTGTGAAGTGTGAGATTCAAGCGAGGATGAAAGCAGTCTGTTGCATGAATACTCACTCTCTCAATAGCCCACAGGCCTCTGGAGCTCACCGGTTCTACAAAGAAGGGTTCTGCAATAAAAAGTAGGAGCCTTTTGGAAGAAATTGCAAATAAGTTTAATGTTTGTGTCCAAAATGCCACCAACTTTTCTTCCTCTTGGTTTCAGGAACAGGTAGCTCTGAGATGAAATAAATATATATAAACAATAGGAAATATTTAAGAGGCAATTCATTTCTCCAAATAAGATAATATGGAAGATAAAAGATAAATAATAGTGTTGAAAGTTACCTCCTTCAGGATAAATGGAGTTGTAGTGCACCTCAGCCCAAAAACTCAAGAAAATAACTGTTTGGAAGAGGAATTACTTTTAGCATTTTAAGGGAAAAATTCAAGCAGAACATGAAGGAGAATAAATGTGAGTAAGAAAATGAAGGTATTTACATATCTAACACATAAGCTTTGCTTTTTTACATTTGTACCACCCAAATCTTTCATATCATATAAAAATTATCACCATTATAACTTTTAAAAAGTGAAGCTGGTATATATATGTAAAAAATGAAATTAAGGTGTTGGATATGTAAATACATGGGAATTAAATAGGATTTAGGAGCATGGACAAAGATCAATCAATAACATGATGCTGGCATGGGCTAGAGACAAGTTCATGTTTTTTCGGAGGTATATAGGTTTCTGGTCTAGTTTTTGCATGCATGTAAGGCCAATTTAGTTAATTTTAGGATGTTAAAACATGTCTATTTCATCGTTTGATGTCAAATAGCTATTTATTACGGTGGTCCACTAAGACTGATTTGTAAATAAGCATTTTACTCCATCCCAAGTGTATATATGTCCATTTATTGTTTGTGCACTGATTAACCTTGTTTGGGTCATTGTATCAAATGACTCGTGTAAAACTACCAGTTAATGATTATTGAAGGAGGATGGAAGAACAGAACAAGAGAGCTCAACAAAGTTAAAGTCATCTGCGAAATGAATAATCGAAAAATAACTCTGCAAAAATAGATTATGTTGCAAGATGTAATCACATAGGGCAAGGTTAAAGCCATGCAACTGTTTGCATATTAACTTGAATATATGCCGCATAATCATACAGAAACCAAATGTTCAGCTGATTTTTCAGTCCTGATGCTACAGGCTAACATTGCTAATTAGTTCTTGAATAGAGTATGAACAATAAATAAATTTTGAAAAAAAAGAGGTAATTTTCAGACACACCTCGTTTGGACTTTTGATCAATAGGCATGATTTCAATGTAGCATGTGTCCTTGAATGACGTTAGGACAAATATCTTCACGCCATACTGCGGAAAATCAATTATTATTTTTACTACCAAAAGATTACACTTAATTATCAAAGACAACAATGAATGAATAAAAACACAATGAACCTAATAGTTCAAATTGATCATCATTACAAGAAAATTTGAATATTAATTTTATGCCAATTATATTGACAAACTGGGAAACTGACTTAAATTGTTAAATTGAAGAAAAACCAAACATGTAACCACGAAACTGGCATATTTGCTCATAACCAGATTGCATCCAATTTTCAGATCCATGCAGATGACTACGTAAACTGATTCTGATTCATATAATAAATGGTTATCAACGACCTAATTTGTTTGGCAAGAAATTCGTTCTGATTCTTGTAATAAATCACTGCCAATGACCTAATTTGTCTGGCAAGAAATTAACCCACGGAAAAAAAAAAAATTGCCTGTAACAGGTTTACTCAACAATTTTCTGGTATTAGTCGATTCCTTGTTGCTTTAACCACCACAAGTTTAAAGTTTTGTATCCAGTTGCATATCCTTATTATTGTCCATCCAGTTAAACTCCATCGGGATTTATGCATGTGTGGGCTCCGAAGATTCAAAGCCCCAAACTCCCTCAAAAGAAAGAAGAAATGTGAAGAGAGAGAGTTTAACATGAGGTTCCAAGTCAAATTTTCAGAAGACAAATGAAACAATAGATGAGACACTGCACAAAGATTTCGCCTTCATTTTGTGAGGACATTAAGATCCCATAGACGCAAACCAATTATCTCTCTCCATAATGAGAGCACTTCCGATTAAGGCAAGTAAATAGGCGCTAAATATTTGGAAAAAATAGAAGCAACAAATTTAGGATTTCAAATTAAAATTATCAATGGTTCCGTCATCTCAATTTGTCATGATCCTTGATTAATTTAGTCAAAATATGTAGTCGACCAAACCTAATAGAAAGATAATTGTAACAACCATGAGTTATTTCGTCCAATGGAACCTTATAGACCTAGGGTTGATGGTTTTTTAAGAGGACTAATCTAAGTTGGGCTTAGCATACAGAAAGCATAGTGTCCTATCAAATTACCTTAAGATTCTTAACTCAAAAATGCAAAATATCATTGGAGAACATATGGGCTATTGTTGTGACGATAATATGACGGTGTCATTTGGTGTCAACTACCTGGTCAAAAAACCTTTAGTCGTAACTACTTCTTTGTGGTATCTTTTTACGACAAAACTATACGGACAGAGGACTCGGGCCATGTCTTTACTGACGAGATTGTTTTGGGTAAGGATTTAGCAACATAAATGAAGTGTCATTTATTTTTTTGTGAGTTTTAAATTAACATTAGATTTATCACCATCGAAAAAAGATTACGAAGGGCGGATGTGATTTTGCTCTTAGCTTTTTTAACAAAATAATTCTTTTGAAAATTTTAAATTTTATAATTTAAAATCATGATTCTATAAAAAAATCATTATGGTTAAGACATAAAATAAATATGTCTATCATCAGAGAGATGTTTGAAATTCATAGATTATTAATATTTTGATGTTTGATTAGATCTTGTAATTCAAACATCGTTAATCATCAATTCTGTCAACTTTAGTCCTAATGAGGATTAGATTGGTTCAGTGTAAGAGGCTCAATCTTATTAACTCCAGTCCTTGTGAAAATGAGGATTGGATTGGCCGAAGGTAAAACTTTCAACCTTGCCCTATAGGTAAGGTAGCCTGCTCAAAGGCATAACACATTAAATGTGGCAGAAAATATAGATTCAGTGAAGTGTAAATAATTGCATGTTTTTAAAATAGTCACATATCATTTTATGGCATATTAGGTTTCAGTTTAATCATATGTTTAATCCATGCAACAGACATATAAGTTTAATGTATTAAGACAAACAACAGAGACATGTGAATGTTTAACTTTAATTAATTGCATTTAAAAGTATTTAAAATTTTAAATAGTTACATAAATATATTATTTATCAAAATGTGCGCAAAATTTCAACTGAAATATTTAGAATCATATTTTGTCCACTTGTGGGATATTGTGAATTCGATGACGAGAGGCGTAAATTAGAAATTGATTTGTAGTTTTCTTTAAATTATTCCTTTTAGATTCCAAAAATAAGTGTTAATTTTAAAATTTTATCTGTTCTTGAGCAACAAGTTTTATTTAAATAAAGAATT